CGAACCTGGATAATGATCCTTTGCAACTCTTGTAGTTACTATTGTTAGGCAGTTGCCAAATGCAGCAGTTCATAACAAATCTGGTTAAATTGTAATTGATCAACCTTGAAACTTCATATCAACATCAAGAGGAATATTTTGTGAGAGTTGGATGATTTAACAGACATAATCATTCTAGTATCAAAAGCAGATGTGCTGGCCAAATTGTGCAGTTTCGGCAGTATTTGGTGAAGAGAAAAGCAGAGTAAACATTCTAAGTCCAGTATGATGACTCTTCAGAACTGAATTGATCTGGATAACAGTCATTTTAATGCTAGTGAATGTGGGGAAGGAGGATCAAGTTTTCTTGCGTACTCCCGCCGTTCTCAATGTTTGTTGGCTTTGCTGTCCCTTTCAGAGCTATCATTTATACTGTTTACTATATGTCTCTCCTTTGCCACCATTATCACTTCGTTGTGTGCCTCTGCTCCTTCCTTTCCCTAAGATTCTGTTTAGTCCTAGTCATTCTTATTTTCTCATCTGCGTCTCTTCATTGATCTCACCTTATCCAAGATCCAATTTGCACTTCCTTTCCAAGTACCCAACTTCCTTTTTGATCCCTAGAGCACCCCTAATCAAAATTGCAAATTAATCTTCCATTACAATCCTGTTAAGGCTTGTTGACTTGACTTTTAAAGAAGAAATCTGAAGACTCAACAGTGAACCAACAGACTCGCACCATGAGGTTTCACTTTTTTATTAAACAGAAACAACTTTTTTGTTTATAAAAAGAGAAATTAAACAAAGTAAGAACCACCGACTTGACTCAATGGCTTTTAAAGACCTGTGCTATAAACTGAGTTCTGCAATTCCTCCATTTCCATTTCCTTACAAATCTTAAAAGTTTGTACACTTTATCAGGATCCAAGTCTCAAGTTATACCATAGCCCTCCAGATTTCACTTTAATTCTCCTTCATATTGTAACTGTTCATCAAGGTACACATTACATTGGAATCCTTCCTTTAGCTTTTATTTAAGTGATCTACTAAGTTTCTTTAAAGACTTCGTGACTGAATTCCTAGCTCCTTGTACTGTCTTTTGACATACATATACTGTTATTTCCCAACCTACTCCTACAGCTGGTGTTCAGCTTTTACTAAATTTATTTTTTGAACCTGACTGCATTCTGCCTCAAGGCTCTATTAGGGTCACTAGATTTTTTTTCCACTATGTGCAAGCTACAACAAGTCATAAAGTCGATTTTCCATCATAAAATCCAACTCAAAACGTTACTGCTTCTGAGTGTTCCTAAGCTGAATGGTTTTCTTCTGTCTGCAAACACATAGGATTTCTAACCAAGGTTTTGCCTGAATTACAATCTCAGTAGCAACATGGCACATGTGACCTGTTCTGAGGAAGAACTACAGATTGACTGTCTTTTATAAGAAATCTTACATTTCTAACAAAGACCGGACATTGTTGCCCAAATTACTGGCACCATTGCAAAGCTAAGAGGAAGCTCTCTGCTGTTGATGGTCTTGCTTTTCTCGCTTGAGTCAACATGGCACCAACAATTTGATTGCTAATTGTCTTAGGTTTGTTTACCGTTTAACTTCCATTCAAAAGTTCCAATTCCCAAACTGAGTTGTCTTCTATAAATTAAAAGCTTTATGTTCTAAAGTTTATGAACCATGAATTAGATATTTGCAAGACTTCTGCAATTGTATTTTGGTTCTTTTAAGATTTCATTGCCTTTCACCAGCAGCTGAAGCTTTCATCTATTTCTGTTAACTGTTCTCAACTAGTCTGATGCTTTCTGATCAGCTTTCTTCGACTCTGTAAATTCAGCTTATTTTGAACAATGCTGTTTCTGTTAACCTGTCACTACTGGGTATGCTGACCTGTGTTGTCTCACCCTCTCATCAGTTTAGATCCAGTGATGACATCCTTGATTTTCAAATTTCCTCATTGTCTTCCCTATCTCTGCCCCATTATCTCTCAAATCTCCTTTAACACTATTCTCTAACGTCCCCAAATTCTATTGCATTTTGTGCATTTCTATCCACCCTGACTTGCCATTGGCAGCTCTGCCTTCAGTTCTAGAGACCCCATTCTTTACTAGGATAACAAGGTGTAGAGCTGGATGAACACAGCAGGCCAAGCAGCATCATAGGAGCAGGAAATTTCTGATGAAGGGTCTAGGCCCGAAACGTCAGCTTTCCTGCTCCTATGATGCTGCTTGGCCTGTTGTGTTCATTCAGCTCTACACCTTGTTATCTCAGATTTTCCAGCATCTGCGGTTCCTGCTATCTCTCGCATTCTTTACTATTTGCCTCCCTGAGGCACTCAGCTTCTTTGACTGCATCTATTTCTTTAAAACCCTTCTTGCAGCTGGTTGATCAACCTTTTTACTACTCTTGCTAATATTCAGATAAAAATGGTCATTGAAAGATACATCTGCTGAGTACTTTGGGTGATTTTTCTAAATAAGAGGTGCTGTATAAATGTAATTTATTGGCATTAGAGGTGCTAAATAAATGCAAGTCGTTGACAATACAAAAGGTGTTTTACTGAGCAGGCATACAAGGCATGTATGCTTTCTGAAATGAAACTATTATTGTTCCTTTATCAGAAACTCAGAAGAAACATTGGAATATTTGGAATGAACTGTGAATGCGCAAGATTACTAACCTTCTAAGGAGCTACAAATTCCTTTCTATAGTCCAAAGAGTCATGTAGACTCCAGCATCAATTCAAATCAAAAAATCACTGTTAATTTCTCCACAATCAACAACCTGGGATCTCCATTTACCAGGAATAGAATGAGCCATATAAATGCTATTTGGCTTTGAGATCGAATAAGAAGCTGGGTGTTTTAAGCTGAGTGGCTCACCACCTGACTCTCAAGCTCAAAGTGGATGACACAGTTGTGATGGAATCCCCTCCGATTGCCACAATGGGTATAGTTCCAATATTCATAGAAGCTTGGCGCTATCCAGGCCAAATCTATCAGCTTGATCACTACTCCAT